CACTAGTCCCTTCTTGGAGTCTGTGAGTCTGTTGCTGTTTGTTCCTTCAGTTTTGCTTCATTGTTATACTCCACAAATGAGGGAAGTCATTTGGTACTTGTCTTTCTCCACCTGGCTTATTTCACTGAGCATAATATCCTCCACCTCCATCCATGTTGTTGCAAACGGTAGGTAGGATTTGTTTCTTATGGCTGAATAGTATTCCATTGTGTGTATGTACCACATCTTCTTTATCCATTCATCTACTGATAGATGCTTAGGTTGCTTCCATCCATATCTTGGTTATTGTAAATAGTGCTGCAATAAACAAAGGGGTGCATATGTCTTCTTGAATCTGAGAAATTATATTCTTTCTGTAAATTCCTAGGAGTGGAATTCCTGGGTCAAATGGTATTTCTATTTCTAGTTTTTTGAGGAACCTCAATATTGTTTTCCACAATGGTTGAACTGGCTTCATTCCCACCATCAGTGTAGGAGGGTTCCCCTTTCTCCACATCCTTGCAAGTATTTGTTGTTCTTAGTCTTTTTCATGCTGGTCATCCTAACTGGTGTGAGGTGATATCTCATTGTGGGTTTTTTTTGCATTTCCCTGATAATTAGTGATGTGGAGGATCTTTTCATGTGCCTAATGGGCCATCTGAATTTCTTCTTTGGTGAATTGTCTGTTCATATCATCCACCAATTTTTTAATTGGGTCATTTGCCTTTTGGTTGTTGAGGCACATGAGTTCTTTATATATTTTGGATGTTAACCCCTCGTCGGATATGTCATTTACAAATATATTCTCCCATACTGTAGGATTCCTTTTGTTCTGCTGATGGTGTCCTTTGCTATACAGAAACTTTTTGGCATGATGTAGTCCCATTTGTTCATTTGTGCTTTTTTTTTCCTTGCGTGAGGAGATGCGTTCAGGAAAAAGTTGCTTGTGTTTATATTCAGGAGATTTTTGCCTATGTTGTCTTCTAAGAGTTTTATGGTTTTATGACTTACATTCAGGTCTTTGATCCATTTCGAGTTTACTTTTGTGTATGGCGTTAGACAATAATACAGTTTCATTCTCTTGCATGTAGCTGTCCAGTTTTGCCAACACCAATTGTTGAAGAGGGTGTTATTTCCCCATTGTATGTCCATGGCTCCTTTATCGTATATTAATTGACCATATATGCTTGGGTTAATGTCTGGGCTTTCTATCCTGTTCCATTGGTCTATGGGTCTGTTCCTGTGCCAGTACCAGATTGTCTTGATTACTGTGGCTTTGTAGTAGAGTTTGAAGTCAGGGAGTATAATCCCCCCAGCTTTATTCTTCCTTCTCAGGATTGCTTTGGCTATTCAGGGTCTTTTGTGGTTCCATTGAATTTTAGAACTATTTGCTCTAGTTTGTTGCAGAATGCTGTTGGTATTTTGATAGGATTGCATTGAATCTGGATTGCTTTAAGCAGGATGGTCATTTGGACAATATTAATTCTTCCTATCCATGAACATGGGATGTATTTCCATGTATTGGTATCTTCTTTAGTTTCTCTCAAGAGTGTTTTTTAGTTTTCATGGTATAGGTCATTCACCTCCTTGGTTAGGTTTATTCCTAGGTATTTTATTCTTTTTGATGCTATTGTGAATGGAACTGTTTTCCTGATTTCTCTCTCTGCTAGTTCATTGTTAGTGTATAGGAATGCAACAGATTTCTGTGTATTAATTTTGTATCCTGCAACTTTGCTGAATCCAGATATTAGTTCCAGTAGTTTTGGAGTGGATTCTTTAGGGTTTTTTATGTACACTATCATGTCATCTGCAAACAGGGACAGTTTGACTTCTTCCTTGCCAGTCTGGATGCCTTTTATTTCTTTGTGTTGTCTGATTGCCGTGGCTAGGACCTCCAGTACTATGTTGAATAACAGTGGGGAGAGTGGCCATCCTTGTCTTGTTCCTGATCTTAAAGGAAAAGCTTTTGGCTTCTTGCTGTTAAGTATGATGTTGGCTGTGGATTTGTCATATATGGCCTTTATTATGTTGAGGTATTTGTCCTCTACACCCATTTTGTGGAGAGTTTTTATTATGAATGGATGTTGAATTTTGTTGAATGCTTTTTCAGCATCTATGGAGATGATCATGTGGTTTTTGTCCTTCTTTTTGTTGATGTGGTGGATAATGTTGATGGATTTTTGAATATAGTACCATTCTTGCATCCCTGGAATAAATCTCACTTGATCATGATGGATGATCTTTTTGATGTATTTTTTAATTCAATTTGCTAATATCACCTTTGTTTTTTATGTGACTTATTTAATTGTAAATTTATATAATTTCTATAAGGTTATATAATTTTTAATAATACTGTGTTTAATAACTGACCTGCAAAATTTCTGGAATTTCATTGTTAGTTCTCATGACCCAGTGTGGGCTGGCTCCACCATGCCTCTGGGTAGATGTGTTCTCTTTTCTTGTATAAATATGAAATATAATTGTAAGTATACATGTATTATACGTACTTGTGTCTGTGTTTATTTGTATTTATATGCATGTATGTGCATATAAATGTATATGTATGTGTTTTTTAATTAAGATTTTAAAAATAAGATTGGGGTAATACTGATAATCCGTTTGGGGATCTGTTTATCTACTTCATAGAAGTAAATCTGAGGATCAGTTGATCATACTCTGTTGCTTTGCTGCAGACTCTATACTTAAGGCCATTAAATGGTGGGTGTAGCCAGTCACAAAAGGGACTTGGTGACACTGGCTGCCTGAAGTGCCTCTCCAGTGTAAAAGTGAAGAGAAGAGAATGAATTGAGATGGGGCAGCATAAATTTCCTGTGTAGTAGGCTGGTTATTTCAAAATATGGTGCCCGTGTGGACTTCGTCATTCCTCAGGCAGTCTTTATCTTGAGAGTGTATGGAAACCTGGCTCTGCGTGTCCACGACGAAGTGCTCAATCCTTTGCTCAGCTGGACCTCATACCTGCTATTCTCTCTGACATTCTCTTCTACATCTTCTTGCTTCCTTCCCTTCTGCTTCTTTCTCATGCTTGTAGGAGGCAGATTTACTGTATGAGTCTTTTTAAATATCCTGTAAATATAGGACAATTTGTTTGGGGTAGTTGTACTCAGTGTCTACAGTCTTAATGAACAGTTATACCTCCAAATGACGGTGTCCTCAGCTAACATAATATCTACCCTAAAACCTTTTCTGTGGGCTCCTTAATCTTGAAATCTACTTTATGTGTTAGGTAATTTCATATAACTGTTTGTAGCCATAATTTTAAATGATTTTAAAATCCTTTAGCTACAAAATATGTTCTTAGAAGCCAATGAAAAAGATTTCCAGTGGCTTGGCAAAAATTAGATACTAGCTGGTAGATGCACTGCACTCCTTATATAATGGAGAAATTGTTGATTATTTTATTTGCAATAAGAATGTTCTTGCTTACTCACTGTTGAAATTTCTGTTCCAATTCCCAGAGGAGAACAAATTCATGTGTTGTTAGAATGAGCTCAGCTGTTTTCTACATTCTTGGCCCATTTTACATTCTTGGTTAAAGCCTTTGATTTTAACAGAAACTCTTTAAGAACTGTTTTTGAAGGACTTGGTTAAATGAATTTTTTTTAAATGTATTTGTTTTAATTAGTAACATAAAGGTCTTTTTAAGGCCTTTAATATTTGCAATTACATTGATTAGGTCTTGCTGTTTGTATGTTTTGCTTCATTTTAATTTCCTCCACTATCAATTGAATCTATTTTATTCTGGTTTAGGAACCACTGAAATTTGTTGAAAAGATAGAAATGTAATGCATTTTACAGAGGGTAAATAGGGAGGGCGTGGCCAATTTAATACCTTTGATCAAGTGATTACAAAGGTAAGAAATGGGTGGCCACCGTATTTCCCTTAAAAAATTTTTTTTAAATTATTGGTGTAGAAAGATCTTGTAGTGTCTTATAACAGCCTAAATAAATTTATGTACTTTTATTAATAACATTTAAACCTGGCTTTTAAAAACTATCTGCCTCAATAGTTCAAACAAAAAATATAGCTAACATTTTATAAGCAGTAATGTTTTTATATTTTAAAGTCAGGGTTTCAAACTAACCTAATTTCTTTCTGACTGTAATTGGAAGTGTTAACTAATGTTTTGATCAGTTTCAGATTCTTAAGATAGATATTTGCTTTGCAGTGAAAATAGCAAACTGTCATTACTCGTGGCACTTTTATTTTAACCCCTACAATAGAGAATGGAGAAACGTGAAATCTTATGTCTCACCTTTTTTTTCTTTCCTTGTTGCCTTCCACTAAACCCACTGATTTTTCATATGTTTTTATTAATAGTAAGGTTTTATTTTTTACAAGAGAACATTAAACTGGTTAATTGAGATAAATTTGGTCTTGTTGGAATACAAGTTGTGTGTCAAGTCTGATTCCACTTTTCCTCCTTCCATCCTTCCCACTCTCTTCTCCTATGTCCTTTATATAATGTAAAATTCAAATGTTTAATTAAATACTGTCATATATGTAAATATGTTCCTTTGATTTTTGTATATGCATATAATGTATATATATATATGTTCCTTTGATTTTTGTCTCCAAAGGAATAGAATTCATCTCAGGTTATTTTTAAAGTGTTAAGTTTGTTCAGGCACTGAGGAAGCAAAAAGACAAGTAAAAGTTACAGACAGAAATGTCAGAATTAAGACCTCTTCTCTGTAACTGTGACATCAAAAGTGTTACCAGGTGTACCTTGGCAAGTGTGGGTGGTGATACTATATTACCACTCTATTCCCACCATCTTTTGTTCTTTTGAGTAATACCAAGAAAAGAGAGTAGATTGCATGTTCTGTTGAGAACCAACATATTGAAATATTTATACATGTTTAGTAAAAAAGAAAATACTAATGACATAAAGCATATTTTTCAAGGTTGGTAATAAACTAGTATGTTAATGAGAAACTTTTTCTTCTTTTTCCTCCCTGAGTATTTTTTTCATCCTTGGACAGAGGGCTTTTTTTGTTTTTTAATTATGAAACGCTTCACATGTTTGTGTGTCATTCTTGCACAGGGACCATGCTAGTCATCTCTGTATTGTTCCAATTTTAGTGTATGTGCTGCCAAAGCGAGCACGTCAGAGGGCTTTTTTACTTGATATTTGTTTCTTGTTATATAGACGTTACAACTCAATATATGGTGTGGTGTAGGAAACATCTGTCTTTGATTTTTCCTTCTGTAATGTGCATCCAAGTGGCTCTCTAGATTTCTAAGCTTCCCGTGTCCTAATTTCTCTTGCCATGTGGTGTCCCCTGCCAGCCTTATATGTGTTGCAGGAGTTTATACTAGGTTTTTCTATAAGGAAATGTCCCAAGAGATGTGTCACCCATTTCTGGGTGCATATAGTTTTTTTGAAACCAGGATGACGCTTTTAGAAAAGGGTGTAGGTTTTCTTTTTTTTTTTTCCTTAGAACTTCTTTTTTACATTCTTTAAAGGCATTGTTAAATAGGGTGTAATCGGATGAGTCAGATGTTTTTAGGAGACTTGTTCTTTACATATGACTTAAAATATTCTGTGGAATGGAATCTGAACATGCCGAAGGGACTTAAAAATTACCTTAATTAAAAAAATTTGCCATACTTATCTTTTTTTAACTTAAGGCTTATATGCAACATCATTACAATATGTGTACTTTGCCTGAGAAGTTTATGGTGTAATGGAGGAGATAATACACAAATGTACTTCTAATACAAGGTAAAAGGTACATGAAAGTCCTGATTTCAAGAAAAGCGTATATCACTATACTTCAGTTAAAAAAATATTTCAAAAAAAGAAAGAAAAGCAGAAATGCACACAAATAGTAAGCTATTCTCTTGTCCATAGGGTTTTCACTAGACTGTGAGAACCTCATGGGCAGGGACCATGTCCCTAGTGAATCTTGTCTGTTTGGTACCCAGCATAATGCCCAGAAGAGCATAAACATTTTATTTCTTGGTTGAATAATAAACATTTGCTCTTAACAGAGTGAAAGCTTATCTTTTAGTCTAAAATACAATAATCAGCTAGTAAGACAAAATTCAAAAAATCAGTTTCTGCATGTCATGGATGCTTCAAACTGAAACTGTCATGTATTTGTCAGTATTTTATTTCTCCCTCACTTTTTTCTGGCATATAATGGACACTGTGTTAGTACTATGCTGTCCTTTTTTTTGGCCTTTAACCACAAATAACTTTAAAAATTTAATCCTACTATATTGTTATATATATCTAGAAAAGAGAGGATTATATTTTTTGCCCTTTTTGTCTTTCTGCAATTTCTTTTAACACTTTTTCTACAGCTCACTTTAAGTTGACTGTGGAAGAAAGATAAAACCCTTGAAAGAATTTATTCTGGTTATTAGCTCCTTGTTTCATTCATTTATGCATCAGACCCATAGTTTTCAACATTTTTCTGTTTTCATTTGGAGAGGTTAAAAAATTCCTGTTCTCACATGTTGCTGCAAATACCACCTTTCCTAGGTGGTGATTCGACATTATGCCTTGTATATATCTCAGAATAAGTTGTACCTACTCTACATCATGTAACCCACTTGGGCAAGTTCTGATTAACATCAGTGTATGTTACTGTGTATTATACATGGTTTGAAATTTAGTAGCACACCAGTGAATTGTTTGTGCAGCTTATTGGCTGGGAATTACCAAAGGTTTAATTTATAGAGAGGTTCTAAAGGTAGTGTACAATGAAAAACTTTGAATTATCACTAAGTTCCATTAATTCACATTTAAAATACAGTGTTTATTGCACCATCTCTTAATTAGGTAAACCTGGCCAGTTTTCCATCTATTGTTAGAAGAGAGAACTATTCTTCCTTGAGCACCAGATGCTCATCAAGGTGATATTTTTTGCCATACTTATCTTTTTTTAACTTAAGGCTTATATGCAACATCATTACAATATGTGTACTTTGCCTGAGAAGTTTATGGTGTAATGGAGGAGATAATACACAAATGTACTTCTAATACAAGTAAAAGGTACGTGAAAGTCCTGATTTCAAGAAAAGCGTATATCACTATACTTCAGTTAAAAAAATATTTCAAAAAAAGAAAGAAAAGCAGAAATGCACACAAATAGTAAGCTATTCTCTTGTCCATAGGGTTTTCACTAGACTGTGAGAACCTCATGGGCAGGGACCATGTCCCTAGTGAATCTTGTCTGTTTGGTACCCAGCATAATGCCCAGAAGAGCATAAACATTTTATTTCTTGGTTGAATAATAAACATTTGCTCTTAACAGAGTGAAAGCTTATCTTTTAGTCTAAAATACAATAATCAGCTAGTAAGACAAAATTCAAAAAATCAGTTTCTGCATGTCATGGATGCTTCAAACTGAAACTGTCATGTATTTGTCAGTATTTTATTTCTCCCTCACTTTTTTCTGGCATATAATGGACACTGTGTTAGTACTATGCTGTCCTTTTTTTTGGCCTTTAACCACAAATAACTTTAAAAATTTAATCCTACTATATTGTTATATATATCTAGAAAAGAGAGGATTATATTTTTTGCCCTTTTTGTCTTTCTGCAATTTCTTTTAACACTTTTTCTACAGCTCACTTTAAGTTGACTGTGGAAGAAAGATAAAACCCTTGAAAGAATTTATTCTGGTTATTAGCTCCTTGTTTCATTCATTTATGCATCAGACCCATAGTTTTCAACATTTTTCTGTTTTCATTTGGAGAGGTTAAAAAATTCCTGTTCTCACATGTTGCTGCAAATACCACCTTTCCTAGGTGGTGATTCGACATTATGCCTTGTATATATCTCAGAATAAGTTGTACCTACTCTACATCATGTAACCCACTTGGGCAAGTTCTGATTAACATCAGTGTATGTTACTGTGTATTATACATGGTTTGAAATTTAGTAGCACACCAGTGAATTGTTTGTGCAGCTTATTGGCTGGGAATTACCAAAGGTTTAATTTATAGAGAGGTTCTAAAGGTAGTGTACAATGAAAAACTTTGAATTATCACTAAGTTCCATTAATTCACATTTAAAATACAGTGTTTATTGCCACCATCTCTTAATTAGGTAAACCTGGCCAGTTTTCCATCTATTGTTAGAAGAGAGAACTATTCTTCCTTGAGCACCAGATGCTCATCAAGGTGATATTTTATATGAAAAATACCAATTTTTAAATGTTAGACCCAGATGTTCTGGGCAAGATGTGCATACAAGGTGTAACTGGGAATTGAAACCAATAGAACAAAGCCAGCAGTAAAATTATTCCTGGGGATTCACTTATTAAGTAAATTATAAGTGGAATGTATAATTTTGGATTTGCTTAAGTAAATTATAAGAGGAATCACCTGTACTATTCAAATTATATTTATTTCTGTGAGTACAATTGAGTTCACATTAGTTCAGTGAGCACTTAATACGTATAGTTCCACTGACTTGCACTATAAAAAGGAAGTAGAAGACAGTCTCTCTCCTTGAGAAATTTGCAGTCTGATTAGGAAGTCAAGACATGCATGTGTGAAAATAAAGAAAAAGAGTTGGGAAGGACAGGAAAACATATTCTAATTTCAAATGTGCTGTAGTTACTAATAACAAAGTTGAAAGCTTCTTCTAGGATTTGAATACTTTTGTGGGATTACTTGTTAATAGAGCTAAAGAAATATAAATCCTTTTAGAGCTACTGATCACCAGGTCCATTTTGTGAAAAACATCTTGGGAAGGGTGAGCGAAAGGAGCAGAGTTCTGTGTTCTCACTGAGAACAATACAGTGCTCACGAAAGCTTGTCGGTCTGTTTTGTTCTCTTGGCTTTGTTATTGCTTCAGCTTGGTAAGAGATTAGGTATGTGAGAAGTATGCATTGTGAAACTCAGAATGGTTGTAAGTAGTGAATAATTGCAACTGAAATGTGCATGGTCAATTATTTGAATTTGTAAGGTAGAGTTATAATAACTGCAGGGCAACTCAACAGATATTGGCAGGATAGCTCCCACAAGTTCAGCCTCGGATAATTACAGACTACAGAAATTTATGTATTGGGAAGTAGGGTAAGAAATATAACTAGCAATTTTTGAGACACTAGTATGTGACAAGCCTTGTGCTATATATTTTACATATTGTTTTGTTTTGTTATTATTCAGACTCAGGAACAAGCCAGAGGATAGGCATTAGAATCCTCATATTACGGATGAGGAAGCAATTCCAGCAAGTGAGTAAATTAGCTGAGCTCACACAAATAGGGAAGTAGGTCTGGCTGCCTCCAAATTCTGTACTCTTCCCACTATAGGCATGATGCCCCAGTAGGCACATCATGATCCTATTTGCTTTTTCTCTACTTGTCTTTCATATACTTTATGCTCACAGGTATGAGTGTTGTTAATAGAACTCATTTTACAAATTTTGTAATAGGTAGGGTATGTTAATTAAACTCATTTTAAATATGCATCAGCTTTTTTTTCCTGGAAGTAAATGTGTAAATAAAGATTGCACATATGATTTCCTTGTCCTTGAAAAAGATCAAGTAGAAAAATACCTGGTGTAACGTAATGTTATATTACAGATCTTAATGATTATAATTGAGCCATCACTGGTGATAAAAAAGTGTCTCAGAATGTATATAACTTTTCCCCTCAAGCTGTCAGAGCACTGATAGAAATATTTTGTAGTTTTGTTGTAGTTTTTGACTTTAGCAGAAGCTATTCTAGTTGGTTATCAATTATTTTTCTTTACTAATCTTCACTCTTAAATTCTTAAGAAAGGATTCGCCTCCTCACCATCCTCACACTTTAAACTGTAGCAGCTTGTTGGAGTTTTAAAATTAAAAAATAATTTATTTTCATTAGTTTCAAGTAACTACACATTCTTATTCTTTTCCATTCCTCACACTTTATCAGATCTGGTCCTACATATTGGCATGATAATTTAGGCACTATTAAAATGGCATCATAGCTTTATGTTTGTTTCAGTGGCAAAATATTGTTTATTAACTCTCATTTCTTCTCCCATTACATAATACTGCCTTCATCTAGAAGGTAATATAGAGTGATAAAAATCTGATGCTCATACAAGATGAAAACAGGTATTTGTGTTATTCTGTAACACTGTTGCCTTCTGTTTT